GATGGAAAGTGTGCTTCAAAAGATTTATTAACATATCTTTGTACATATTTTACACAAATGGAATGTTAAAACATACAACCTAGTTCAGTAAAAAAGAAAAATATATATCGTATGATTTGTGTATTGGCAAGCCAAACACAACGTACCTTTTAAAAAAACAAACCTCAATCATGTCATTCTGTTTAAAAAAAACATACAAGTATGTTTTACATTAGATCTTGCTAATTACATTCTCGTGTATCACAGGGGGACAATAAAGGAAGACATCTTGCCCGTTACCACTGTCTCTAATAGCATTTCCTGTAAACTGATTAATGCTCCGAGTTATGAGTACCATGTTTTGGAAATGGGCGCTGCTGTCTAGCAGAGGGGTACTGAATGGTCCACAGAGCCAATGGTCTTGGACAGCACTCTAATACCATCGCTTGTTAATGAAATCTGTGGTTAGCCACAAAAAATTAGCCTCATTCAAAACAAGTTCCTTTAAAAACCTTGAACTGTGCCTACCCATTCGTCAAACTATTATGGTATTTTATTAAGGCAGTGAAACATATGAAGATGTAGCTAAAACAATTTGGTTTAGCACGTAAGTACATATATCAGACAAGTGGTTTCCAGGCTGCTGAAGTTTCCCTCAACTCCAGAAGCCTGTTGAAGTTTCTTCAGTTAGAACATCAGTAGTGGCTACTGCCTCTCTTGCCCTTCAAGGGAATTCACACAAGCAAGCCCCTTGTCCACCCCTAAGGCAGCCCAAGACCATTCCATGGGACTTGAGTGACCCACAACCCTCACCAAGACGCTCTGCAACTCGCAACGGCTCTTCATCAGAAAAGCCAACATGAAAAGGATTCTTTGACTCTAGGAAATCTGAAAACCACTCCAGTAGATTATACTGGGTGTGGGGGGTACTAGTCAGTATATCATTTGTCCAGGAATCAGTGGGAGCGAGGGATACATTGCTACTGCTGACATCTAAGAGAAGATGAAATGAGTTCTAAGGGGAAAGAGGGTTTAATGGTTGACTGTATAGCTGCGATGTGCAAGATTTAGGGCTATCAAGTGACTAGTCAATCATATGGCTTTTAACAGGTTTCTGGATTGGAATATTTCTATATTATAAAAACTTCAGTATGGGTTTGTAGAGATATACATGTACAAGGTAATTTACAATTCAATAAAGCCAACGTTTATCCACAGGAAAAAACCATCTTCTTCGTTTCCTATTCCAGAACACCCCAGAACCAAAACTGCCTTAAAAACAACAACAGTGTACCCACCAATTAAAGACTCACCAACTAAAACTGAGAACCTATGTGGTGCCATAGGTCAAGGGCTGGGAAACTCCGGTTCAAATCATTCAGCCACGAAACTCACTGGGTGACACCTGAAGGGGTGGGGGTGGGGGTGGTGAAATGAACGAAAGAATCACCTATGCATCCTTGAGCTCCTTTGAAGGGACAGTAGGATAAAAATGTACTGATAGATAAAATATCCTTTAATGGATAACACTGGTCCCTACTGATCTGTCAGCTATCACTTTAGTCCATTAATTTTCCAATTAAAAGCCTTTCAGCCCTAGGACAGGAAGGAAAATCCTTGATAAGCAACATCCAGTGAACACAAGAACTGCCACAGACGCATAAAAATTCAGACTCAAGGTTGCTGAAGGCCATCACTGCAATACATACATGAAGCCTTAAAAAAACCCCAGGGAATTGGCTTTCTGGCAATTCATCGTAGACATAGAGGAGCCACTAAAACCAAGCCAAACAAATGGTGGATGTGCATCTCTGGGTATCTCCACTTGTTTCATATTACATTTGAATGACTATGGCACTAACAAAGACCCCCTCTGTAGAACACCATTGTGCAGCCGGAACAATTTCGAGGAACATCGTCTTAAACCTTTCCCCATTCTGCTTCTGTACACCAGAGTTCGGCTTCATCATGGAGCTATTTTAGAACAAAGCACTTCTGTCTTTTCAATATATCCAGCAGAACGCAGTGCAGTCACTGTACTTAAAAATAAATAATTAAAAAAAGACAACCTGGCCAGTTCTGAGCATTTTGTTCTGCATTTCACTGCCCAGGGCTGGATCAGAAGCCAGTATCATTTGAAGCAATTAGAGACCAAGAAATAGCCACTGCTAAAGTTACAGAAAAAAGCTCCTCCTGTGGCTAGGCCTGTGCAACAAACTGCTGAGGTCAACAGGAGAGTTGCTCAGAAAGGAAGAGCAGAAAAAAGTTCGGACTGTGCAGTGAGATGGGTGACCAGGAGGAGGAAGTGGAAAGAGATCTGAGGCTTAAAGTCCAAGACAAGGAAGTATAAATAGCAAGGTATGCTATTGAGAAGATCAGCACTGAGATTAATATGTTGGCACTGGTGAAGTGGGGAATTTCCATACCAGCAGGTCTGCATCACAACGCAAAACACAAGACAGTGTTGGGAAATTCCCACTCTGGCTCAAAAGCAGATAAGGAAATAAAAATGGGGGAGGGGGTAGACATTAGATACAGGCTTCTGATTTTTTTTTTTTAAAGTATCCAAAACAGGCAAATATATTAACAGACTTAATTAAAGCATCTGCTTTTGCTAGCAGATGGATGTAAATGGGAAAAAAGCTTTTGAGGCCTCAAATGAATGAGTGTTTCGCAGTTCCTTGAAGGATTTTGAACTGGTGGACACAATTAGAAGGATCCAACTGAGAAGTTCCCACCTAGTCTTTTTTCAGACCTATTTTTTCACATTACTTGGGATCAAAACCAGGTAGCCATGTTGCCACCTGAGCTCCTCCTGCAAAGTTATGGAACCCCAGCTGATGCGGAGGGATTATTTAAACTCACAGGTGAAATCACGGAAAAGTATGAGTCTGTAATGTTTCAGAATACAACTGCAAAATTTAAAGCCAGTGTTAAGGTGAGCCGTTATTGTTGGCGGCAAAAGAATTTGAAACATTGTACTATGCTGCTGCCTTGCACTGCTTTTCTCGTTCTCAAAATACAAGCCTAGAAACCAGCGCTTGCCTACTGGAAACCACTAGGCCGCCGTCTTGCAGAGGACAAAATTTAGATGTTTAGGAATCCCATGCTTGCTGCCCATCTTCAGTTTGTCTCTGGCATGTGTAGCAGAGGAAGAGGTGTGTTTCCCTCTTCATCCACCCACGGCTTTTCCTTTTCCTGCATAGCCTTCCTGCCGGCTGGTTTTTCCTAAGCCTGGCTCAGACTAACTCTCTCGCATCAACCAACTAAGAAAAATCAGCAGGGCTGGGGGGGAATATAGGAAAAGTTGCATAAGAAAACTGTGCCTTCCTGCTTCCTCTTTGCATGTATCCACTCTTTGCCTTGTGACAAATGGAAACTGGGAACCCCATGTTTTCCAAACCTCTATTTCTGTCCACAAGAGCATGCTGAACACAGCCACAGTTAACACTGAAAGTGCCTATTTTGCCTCTCCCTGTAGTTAGCAATGGTTCTTGGCTACAGCTCTCAGTGCATACCTATACGACAGGCCAATGATGTGGAGCAGAAGATTTTTCCTAAAACGGAGAATTTTCCAGCAATTTTCCTGACGCTATAGTTTTCCATGGAAAATTTCCTGACCCAGATAGTCTGTCTATAGTTGTCAGGGCTGCAAATCAATTTTGTTAGATAGGCTAAATGTGGGATATGAAGCATGGGCAAACCCCAGTGCTTGTAGATGATCCATGCTAGCATTTAAATTATTTATTTAAACCTGAATCAGAAACTTTTCTGGAAATTTCCCCCAGAAAGCTCACGTCACTGCTAAAGACTCAGACCAGTTTAGCTATCATTGAAGCGATCAGTGGGCTGTCCATTGGCCTGGGATTCCCGAGAGAGGGAGATGAGACTGTGGGCACGGAGGATCCGGTAGATGCATATATTTATGAGCAAGGTAAGTGCAGAAAGTGTCTCTACCTGCCTCACTGCAAATTAACACCAGATCACCAGCAGAGGAGGGGGAAAAAATCTTGAAATCCACAGAAGTAAAGAATAATGAAATAATGTGACATACTGCTTTTATCTCTTCTATTTAAACATTTTAAAAATTTCAGTCACCTTTATTCAATACTTTTTCACCTTAGTACAAACTTCACAAAGCACTTTAATAAATTTCAAACAGGCCCCCTTTCCTTGCGGAAACAAATATATTAAACTCCATTTTTCTTTATGAGCGCCTTCCCCACCCAACCCGATACCTCCATTTACAATTCATAGTAAGCCACAATAACACAGTAACGAATTAAATGACTGAAGACAAGAGTCAAGTCCTCTGTCCACCTACAGATGCTTAAAACCATAACAGTATGAATTATGAGCCACTGGACATAGAATTATTGCCTGACCAACCGTGTTAGATGCAAGTTACTATGATCTGTCATTGAAACAACCTTCGATTTAAAAACAGTACGCACAAGAAGTCAAGCCAGGTCCAATCGTCCCCACGAAAACTTCAGGAATTGTATCGCTTTGCCCATCTTTGTGGCTACACAGCCAGGAGAGTAAAGTATTACAAGAAAATAACTACCTGAAACATTTAAAAAAATACCCGTTAAAATTACCTTAACTGGCAGCACTTGAGATGGTGACTCTTATTTCCCCATGTTCTTTTTTTAAAAAAATTGCATAGCTGCTAAATTACGTCGTCGTCCCCCCCGCTTTTGCTGCTGTTGCCGCACTGAAACCCACAAGCAGTAAAAGTGGACTTTTATATACTTATACAGGAATGAACACAGTATGCAGATTTCAACAACTCTTTAGCATGTCGATTAACAATCCTGCCCAGGTTACTTTTTCCTCTTTGGGCTGCATTCTGGCAAGGAGTTACTTACAAAAAAAAAATTGCTGAAGTCAAGGAATGTTGCATTCTTTTCACAGAAAAAGTGTGAATGGCATATTGACAACAAGGTGGGGAATTTCATGAGCGAGGTTGCATCATTTGACTGTCTGACATTTATTTATTTTTTTGCGGGGGGGGGGGGGGGGGGAGGGCAGAGAGTTTCTAACCCAAGAATGGCATCTTCCTTGTGCAAATGTTCCAGAGTGTTGATCTAGAGCACACAGCTTCCATTCAAGAAAGGATGCGACAATATCCTGCTTCTGTAGATAGCTTTTAAAAAATTAAACTGAAAATTAGTAACTTTGGCCTGTAGATACAAAATGTTGTCCATAAAGTCCATAAAGGAAGAGGATTGTTCCTGAATGTGCAGCATTTTCAGAATCCCTGTGTCTCCTTTAGGCAAGTTCTTGGTACACTGCGGGATGTGCTCTGTGCAATGTTCCCTCTCCACCTTTCCGGTCCAAAATGAACACGAGCCCAGTTTCAAATCAACTTCTGAAGACAGAACTTCAAATCCTTTATATCTGTTGATCAGTGTAAGAGACTACAAGGAAAACCACAAAGAAGGGTTTTTTCTTCAAAGCCCAGTAAAATCTGTAAACTGCAAATACTACTCTACAATTTGCCTGTTATTCAGTCCTCAACAAAAGGCTCCTGAATTATCTCACAAGACATGGGTAAGAGAGGTACCATTTAATGGTTTAGTAAAGGGTTAAAGAACACGAAGCTCCAATGACAGATGCCAACAGCAATGGGGTCCATCCCCCAGTAATCTGGTTTATGACCGGCACTATTTAAATATATTTATAAATTATCTGGAATCAGGTACAAAGGAGCAACATGTTAATATACCATTATTACCATATTTACCCAAAAGGAGGGTGCTGATTTAAGACAACCCCCTAATAAAAAGCAATACCCAAAAGGTGTTTTATTACTGTACATAACTCACTTGTATGTGGAAAAAACCTTAGTCTTCCTTTCAGGTAAACAGGTATTCCTTATTGCCTGATGCCTCTAGTAGTAAACATTTTATGAATGTAGTCTAAAGGCAACACAATTACAGTTGCAAGACGAAAGAGGATTAAAGAGCTATAGAACTCACTTGTCACTGCAATCTTCCCCTGAAATCATGCAACTTTACAAACAGTACAAACTTTGGCCAGATATACTTTTTAACAGGTTAAATTTAATATGAAAAAGCAGCAACAGTTACCTACAAAACAGAAACCTCCACCATTAATCTGAAGGATGCTCAGGACAAGACCGGTTCACTTCAAACCATTCATCTATGCATCTATTGGAATAAAAGACAAGAAGAAATATTACTAAGGCTGCAAGATGAAGAACAGTTACTTGGCAGTTTTCTCCAGCGAAGTCAAGGATTTTATATCACTTGCACTATCGGAATGTAAGCACCAAGCCAGGGTTGTCATTTTAAATATCTTTTCATCAATTCATTTACTTAGTAAAGCGATTGAATTTACTTATTGCCAACTACAATGCAGGCAGGGTCTTGTGAAACCAGATACTCTTTCTTCTCACTGTTAAGTTACAGTAAATAGAAAGAGCCACAGTTAGAAAGAGAGGCCATTGCCCTCTTTTTATTATTTTTCATAAAATATGGAAACACCAGGTGCTCTGATTTAAGTAATATCTCACAATCAAAATAGCTTCAAATATAGGTAAGTTTAAGACCCATCTTAGGCAACAAAGATTTACTTACTTATCACAATAATTATATTCCACCTTTCCCTCTGTGTCAAGGGAACTCATAAATCGTTCCATTAAGATTGCATCAAATAAAAACCACCCTGAAAACATACCTGTGTTAGGCCTGCATTTTTCAAATACCAGTAAATGCCCTCACACTTAGGAAACATTTAAACAGAGTTCCCACTGGCTGTGATTCTCACACTGAGAAGAAAAGCCATACTAGTTTTCCTCTCAATAGGTCCCTGCCACACGGCAGGAAAAAAAACGGGCAAAGTGCGGCTTTTAAAAGCTGCACCAAAATAGAGACGCCGTGGCGGGATCCCACGAATCCCCTGAGCCCACAATCAGATGCCCACGATCAGATGCCGGGGAGGAAGCGACAGTCGGGAGGTGGAGGCTGCCGAACTGCGCATGTCTGAGCATGCGCAGTTCGGCCAGGAGCCGGGGATGCGCCGGCGGAAGGACGCGGCAGCAATCCCACGGCCGGCCTTGATGCACCCTTTCCCGAAGAACCACCTAGGTAGGTGGTTTATTTTTGATGCGGGGTGTTGGGTGGAAGGGCCGGATCGGGAACGGGCGCGCCGCGCTTCCCAGATGTTGTTGTGGGATCACGCCCGTTTGCTGCGCCCCCGATCCGTCCCTCTCCCGGCCCAAAACCTCTCGTGTGACTGGAGCCAATAGTAAAGCTTCCTATGAGTTTGGAGTATAAACCATAAAGAAAACCAAGGATTCCCCTTGTTAAAAAATGGCCCAGAGAGGAACAGGACAGTGGGCCTGTGGAGCCTGCAGTGATTAGCCCCTCCAGGAGACTCAAGCCCTGGAGTCTTTGCTTGGTGTCCGTGTCACTGAAACCCTCACGCTCCCATCTCCATTCAGAGGCCATATGTATGGCTGTATTCTGGTGAGCGGTCCTATGATCAGAGAGGAATTGCCCATCCCTATCTACGAACAGACTTGCTTGTCTTGGGTGACTTACATTGAGGGCTCATTGTCATCCCCAATTTAGAATGACCTTCCTCAGAAGTTTACCAGTTTTGTAGCTGCCACTGATTTCAGCTCTACATCGTCTGCAGATACTGAAAGGTGAAGGGAAGGATCATAAGGTGGGGGAGGTTACCAAAACCCCCATATCGGCTGGAGGGAAGTGGGTTTGCAAGAACTCGGCTTATTTTAATAGGCCAGTGCCTACACTAGCAAATTTTAAACATCCGTCTGGTGTACTGCTCCAAGTCAGATCAAACAGTCACTGAAGCCAGTTGTGCTCATGAACAGTTTAACCCCAGTATTTCCGCACAAGTGCTCTCGCCCTACAGAGGAAATGAATAAAAAGAAATCCCTGTCACACAAAAAATGCAGGTCAATGCCATAATGATTTTTGTGTCAGCTCTTCTTAGGATAATTTTAGATGTATGCTGTTGCTGCTTGCTAGTTTTATCACACTTTAGTTTTATACTATTTGTTTTTTCCATATTTTAGTTGCATTTTATTATTTATGGTTTTATTCAGATATTGCTTTATTCAGAAGCTGCCACAATAATATTATTGTGTGCTAAGACTGTACTAAGAACTTGAAGCAAAGACTTCCTATACCAGTGCCTGAACTAATGTGGTGGCCAGAAGAAAACTGAGCCTGAAGACACTTGCCTTTAACATGCACACAACATGGCCACTCAAAATCTCCCTTTGTAAGGATGGGAACATGATCAGTGGCTCCTGGACAGAGACCTAGAATATTCCGCAAATAGGCTCCGCCCAGGTCCAGGACCCTTCTTTTATGGGAGCCCTGAGCTCTCAAATAATTCTAAACAAATTCCTCCATTTTTACCCCAAGCATTTAACAATACTTGTACCAGGTCTCTTTACCATAACTAGGTAAAAGGTAAAGGTTTCCCTTGCTCGAAAGCCAGTCGAATCCGACTCTAGGGATGCAGTGCTCATCTCTGTTTCCAAGCCAAAGAGCCAGCGCTGTCCAAAGATGTTTCCGTGGTCAAGTGGCCGGCATGACAAAACACCGAGGCGCACGGAACGCTCCCACCGAAGCGGTACCTATTTATCTACTTGCAGTTTCTTGCTTTCGAACTGCTAGGTTGGCAGGAGTTGGGACCAGAGACGTGAGCTCACTCCGTCTTGTGGCACTCGGGTTTCGAACTGCTGAACTACCGACCTTCCAGTCTGCAGTTCAGCGTCTTAACCGCTTGAGCCACCACAGCTCCCTTTTACCATAACTATTTGCCCCCTAATAGTCTCTTGTGTCTTGGAAGTTTTTACATTCCATTAGGACAACGGAGGACAAATAGAATATGCCAAGAGTGGTGACAGACAAAAATAATGCTGAAATAAAAGCTGACTTACAAAAATCAGTTTTACAGGCCCCTATTTCAGGGTTCTTATTGAATTCTGCTATGTACTTACCCTTTATGGTATATGCATAGACAAGGCAATCGTGCTATTGTATCCCCTTGCTGTAGCTCTTCCAGGCATATTGCACACTCCCCAGCATCCTTACTCAGCACATCCTCTACAGAAAACAGACCAAAAGAAAATTAAGACAGCACTATTTTGATTTCTGAGGTTAATAATATACCAGAAACAAACATACTAGAATTGCAAGGTCCATCAAGTTTACTGCCATGAATAAATCCTCTGAGCCCTTTTGTGGATAAAGGGGTTTAAAAAGCAGGTTGCCATGTTTTTCAGAACCCTGATGCAAACTGCACTGTGGGTTTGGTTTAATTCCAGCGGAAATGTGTGCAAACACAAGCTATTAAGGAGCAGAGTCAATAACTATACCATTCATGCTTGCAGAGACAGAACAAGGTTTTATTAAAATTTCAGACAGAAAAGATCGTTTCGACTTTTCCCTTAGTTCCAAGATCAAGTTTTATACTGTGAACATCTATACTTAGGTATTTATTGCATATAAACCCCACCTTTCTTCCACCACGGAAGTCACAAGGATGCGTGCAAAGGGTTCCCTGAAGCTGCGTATTTCAACAAGGTTGCTGTATTGGCACCCTCCAAGTAAACCCTGCAGCCAAGTCCTACAGATCTTTTTCCCCCGTGTCTTGAAAGAGTCTCTCTGACACCAGCCTCAAATCACTACTCCATTTTAACACACGGTACTTCTGAGACTGCTACTGTTCACTTATTTAAAAAAACAAAAACAAATTATCATATGGAGACAAGATCTCATATCGAAGTGTTGCTTATGGTTTCCAGTTTGCTTGCAGATAAGGATGAGTAAAACCTGCAAATAAATCATCGACCTTAGATTCAGATATAGGATTTCTGTATTGTTTTTGGAGTCACATCTAGATTCTGCTTAAAAGGGAGGGTACTAAGGGGGGGGGGGAATAAGAATCAGCTACGTGTCCTGGGCTAGAGAGCAGTGTGAGAAGAAACCCAGGGCGGCCAGAGTAGGCCAAGTAAATATAGAAGCCCTCATCAGGGTGTACTGGCATCTAGTCAGTCAACAGGCTACACAGTATAAATCTATCTTGCCTGCTGTCCCTGCGTTATTCAGTAGGGCAGGAAGGGTAACAGGAAGGTCCTGTCTATACCACACAGAACTGGTATGGGCGAGGAACCTGCTGAATACATTACCACTCACCTGGCCCACCCAATCCCATGATTCTTTCTGCCTGCCCAAGAGCTCAAAATGTGATCTAAATTCAGCTTGGGCAGAATTTGCTGGTAGATCAGAAAATGAGTTTAAAAACCGAGGAAGGTACTTCAGAGCAAGTTACACAGGATGGAGCATAGACTGACACTTAGAATACCTCCCTTCCCTAAAAGCCTTCCATTGCTGCAATGAATAAACCAGAGCATCCCCTTTAATTGTACTCCAGATTCTGAACCAATGAAAAGTAGAATACTGAGTTAATGCTACATATTTGAGCAGAAGGGGCCCGTGGACACAGTTGGAATAAAAATAAAAATATTGTAGTGCTCAGAAAAGGTGCAGTAAAAGGGGAAGATCAAGTGATCATAGAATTGAAGGTTACATGAAGGATCATCTTTCAGTTTTAGACAATAAGAATTTGCATTAGTTGCATAAGCTGCATTTTTCTTGGTTAAAAAAATTTGAGTTTGTTTCCCCCCAAAATATTTACTTAAACTATTGTCAAAATTTGATCGGCTGAGTTATCAACTTGCATAGTGCATCTATTATGAGAAGGCACACTGGTTTGGATACACCTAGATTTCTACGGGGAAAGGCAATTCAGTTTATGTAACCTTGAGAATAACTTGACTTCTGCTCCAGCAGCTTCCATATCATGGTTAAATAAATGGCCCAATTAGAGCTCTAATAATTATTTCTCTAATCAGTTGAGAAAAATAAGAGTAGATATACGCGATTACCCTTCTACTTTCCTAATGCAACTTACATTGCAATTCAGTGTGGAGTTACTCTGGTCTAAACTCATTGGTTTCAATGTGTTTAGACCAGAGAAGTCCTGCATGGGATTACACTGCTGGACAATTTAATGTTGTACAGTTTAATTTAAAAAACGGTGCTTCTGCTGGTCCACTGTACTGTCAAGAAATTTGGAACCCTTTCCTCCCCTGCCACATACAATACATATAAAATGAACAGTCAATAGCTGGACTAGTTTAGAAACAGAGATACCTTGCCAGAATAGAAGCAGCTGTGAGAATGTGCCATTTCCTCCTATTCTTGTTTTTTTTTGGTAAACAAATTTTATTTTCTCAGGAATACAACATATAAAACATTTCATTCTATCAATTGTCTACCCCATTCCCAGTTCCTCCCCTCCCTCCAATGGCTTCCCACAATGCTTCCACCCCTGCTCCAAATTACTTCATATCATCAACAATATCAGTTTTTCATCATTACAATCTAAAGATAACATCGTTTGACTTAATATTGATCTAAACATATTAAGTTTTGTTTCACATCCCAGTTCTTTTCCAGATAAATTTTAAAATCATTCCATTCTCCAAAAAACTCATCGTCTTCTTTGTTATTCAGTTTTTTTGTAATCTTATCCATTTGTGCCATGAACAGAACTTTTTGTATCCATTCTTCAACCTCTGGTACCTTTTCCGTCTTCCAAAACTGAGCATAAATCATTCTCGCTGTCACTATCAGGTACCAGAGTAAAGTTTTTTTAGTCGTATTGACTTCTTCCATTTTGAGTCCCAAAAGCAGAATTTCCGGTGCTTTTTTAAAAGAACATTTCAGTATTTTTTGCATTTCATTGTGGACTTTTGTCCAAAAGTCTACAGCTTTCTCACAAGTCCACCACATATGATAAAATGAGCCCTCATGCCTCTTACATTTCCAGCATTTGTTTGACATATTTTGATTCATATTTGCAATCTTCTTAGGTGTCATGTACCACCTATACATCATCTTATAACAATTTTCTTTAACATTAGTACATGTCGAGATCTTAATAGAGTTTTTCCACAAATATTCCCAAGTTTCCATATCCACTTCCTTATTCATATTAATAGCCCATTTTAACATTTGTTCTTTAACAGTTTCATCTTCAGTATACCATTTTAACAACACCTTATACATTTTAGAAATATTTTTTCCTCCTCCACTCTCCCATACCTTTTCAATTTCATTTTTTTCCTCTCTAAAACCATAGTTTTTTTTGTCAGATCTAAAAAGATCATAAATCTGCATATATTTCAACCACTCATATTCATATTCAATTTCATTCTGCTTTTTCATTACCCACTCTGTTCCCTCTTTTTTAATTAAATCTCTATATGGCAACCAGTCTCTACCTCGCTGTCTTGAGTAAGATATCAACACTTCTACTGGTACAATCCACAATGGTCTTAAGTCACTCTGGTACTTCTTATATCTTGTCCATACCATATACAAAGCTTTTCTCACCAAGTGAAGTTTAAAAAAACTGTCCATTTTTATCTTGTCATACCATAAATATGCATGCCAGCCAAATCTACAATCATGCCCTTCCAACCCCAACAATCTGTCATTTTCAAGCTTCACCCATTGATCCATCCATGTTAGACAAACCGCTTCATAATATAGTCTAAGATTTGGCATTTGTAGACCTCCTCTTTCTTTGGCATCACAAAGTATTTTCATTTTGATCCTTGGTTTCTTGCCTGCCCAAACAAATTTTGACAACTCTTGTTGCCACTTGGCCAACAAATCCGTTTTATGCAGAATTGGTATTGTTTGGAACAGGAACATCAAACGTGGTAGGACATTCATTTTTATAACTGATATTCTTCCCATCAGTGATAAGTTCATTTTATCCCATTTCTTAAAATCTTGAGTCAGCTTAGTCCATAATTTCTCATAATTATTCTTATATAGGTCTATATTTTTTGCCGTTAATTCAATTCCAAGGTATTTTGTTTTTTTAACTACTTCACATTGTACCAGTTCTTGTAGTTCCACTTGTTTTTGTTTGATCATGTTTTTACATATAAGTTTTGTTTTATTCTTATTTACGTAAAAGCCGGCCAATTCTCCAAACTCCTTTATTTTTTGAAAAAGCAATGTCAATTTTTCTGTTGGGTTTTCCACCATAAACATTACATCGTCTGCAAATGCTCGATATTTGTATTGGTGTCCTTTATGTGTCAAGCCCTTTATTTCTTGATCGTACTGTATTTTTTGTAAAAGTATTTCCAATACCCAGATAAATAATAACGGTGATAACGGACAACCTTGCCTTGTTCCTTTCTGTACTTTGAAGTTATCTGTCAGTTCTTTATTCACATTTATTTTAGCTCTTTGTTCAGAATAGATAGCTTCAATACAATTTCTAAAATGTTGTCCCGCTTCAATCTTTTCCATCATCTGGTGCATAAAATTCCAATTAAGATTGTCAAAAGCTTTTTCTGCATCAACAAACAGAAAAGCTACTTCTTTTTCTGGGTGCTTTTCATAATATTCAATTGCGTCCATTACTATTCTTACATTGTCTCTAATCTGCCTTTTGGGTAAAAAGCCCGCTTGATCTTCAGAAATTACCGTTTGTAAATAGTTTTTCACCCTTTCTGCAATAATTTTTGCAAAGATTTTATAATCGTTGTTCAAAAGAGATATTGGCCTGTAGTTCTTTACATTTGTTGAATCTTGTCCTTCCTTTGGAATCAAAGAAATAATTGCTTCTTTCCATGAGTCCGGCACCTTTTTGTTTTCTCTTATTTCGTTGGTTAAAGCTTCCAGGACCGGGGAAATTTCTTCTTTCATCTTTTTGTAGAATTTCGCTGTAAATCCGTCCGGCCCAGGCGCCTTCCCCAACTTTGTCTCTTCTATTGCCTTCATCACTTCTTCTTTTTGAATTGGACCATTTAATAAATCTTTGTATTCCTTACTTATTTTTGGTAGTGGAATCTCCTTTAAATATGTTTTAATCTTCTCAAGATCAACTCTAGTTGTTTGGAATAGTTTAGCATAATACTTGAAGAAACATCTCTTTATTCCATTAGGATCAACGAACTCTTTTCCATCTTCTATTATTTTGGTTATCATTCTTCTCTCTCTTCTAGCCTTAAGTT